CAGGACGAGCCTTACCCAGGTCACTTTGGATCCCGTGATCCAGCTGAGCTCTGGCACATGGGACAGACCACACCTGAGGGCTTCCCTGGCATTGCTTAGGGAAGGCAACAGCACCTCTTCTTTCTATTTACTTTCTCCCCCCTTCAGGCACCCTGCAGCTCCAGGGCAGCCCCAGCTGGAGCAGTGGCTTTCATCCCAGCTCCTGGGGGGAGCTGCTCACACCTTTCACAGGAGGCTCTGCAGGGTTTAGTCCTCACAAACTCCCCCATTTAGTCACCTGCCAAGAAAGCTGCCCTAGTGAAGGAACAGCAGAATTATCCCCTAGCCTGCTCAGCACCTGCAGTTTGCAAGGAATTCCTCTGCCCAGCTGACAGCCAGCTGGCAGTTCAGAGGCCTGAGCCACTGGGGGCTGCCTTCTCCAGATCTCCTCCCAGATTACCGTCTGCAGGCTGCAGAAAGGCAGACATCCCTCATCCATTGTCCTTCCATTAGGGGCTGCAATCTGTCCTCTGCCGTGATAAACGAGGAATGTGGGCCCTTATCTGTACAATTAGCTTAAGCAAGACAGCCAGCAGCCTGCCCTCCCTGCTGACCTCTCCCTGTTCCTCTCCCTGCTGGCTGGGCTGCAGCAGCAGCTCAAGGTCCTCAAGGTCCCCGTGCTCCCGAGGGGGGAGCAGGGATCCCTCTGCCCCCACCCGCTGCACTGACAGCTTTTCCCCCCCATTTTGGTGAGGGCAGAGCTCCCCTGGCAGGCAGCACACCCAGAAAGCCAGAGGCATCCCCGTGTCTGACCTAGGGGTTCCACCACCTGGTCCACCAGCCCCATCTTCTTGGCTCTGTCGGCGCGGATGTTCCTGCCGGTCAGCATCATGTCGAAGGCAGCGGGGAGTCCCACCTGCAAGGGCAGGAAGGGGATGGCAGAGTGGGAGTAGGCCACACACAGGGGCTGGGGAGTAAAGCTTTCCTCTCACTCACCATCTTTGGCAGCCTCTGAGTGCCCCCTGCTCCGGGCAGCAGGCCCAGCAGCACCTCAGGAGTGGCCAAGACTGTTTTCTTGTCCTTTGTTGCCACTCTGTAGTGACAGGCGATGGCGACCTTTAAAAAGGGAGAGACAAGGAAAGGTTTCCCTGGGAAAGACCACAGAGGACTGGGCATCCATCACACAGCTCTCTCCTGCACCCTGCCTCAGCCTCCCTCCCGACCCCAATTCCCTAATCCAACTGCCCAAATTCCCCCTGTGCTCACTGATGGCTCCTTCTGGGATACGACAGCAAACAGGTAGGAGATGAGCACGAAACCACCAAACTGAGCCACACTGTTTTAAATCTCACCTAGACCATCAAGGGCTTCATTAATTCACTACACTGACAGCATGGTCCCATCTACTGATCAGCCATGATTCCTGGTTTATCCCTGGATAAATCCACGTGTGTCACCCCAGTGTGTGCAGAAAGCTGCGACTGCTTGAGAAATCCATACAAACCAGGGAGACTCCATTCCAAGGTTATTCTCCTTCAGTAACCACTCTGCTCCAGGAATCACCACAGTCCTTCAATTTACAGAAATCCTAGGTGGAGATTCCCAGGCAAACACTGGATCCAGCTGAAGGGGCAGGCAGGAATGGGGTGTGCAGGCAGGGAGGAGCCTGGCTGGGCCCCCACACTCATCCCTCTCACAACAGCCTTGTGGGGGGAATGGGAGCTGCTGGGATACAGGACTCACTCCATCTGAACAGCAGCAATTTCCAGCCTGGGCTCTGCCAGCAGCACTGATGCAGATCCAACGCCTGCTGGAAACAGCCGGTTTTCCCTGGGACTCTCATCCCAACACCAGCCTGGCCCACACAGGTTCCCATTTGATCTGCTCTCTCTCCACAGCAGCAGCAGAGCCCCGAGGCACAGCAAAGCCATTCCCTTGCCACAGACTCCTTTGCATGAAGCAACGAGCCCTCCTGGGGCCCCACACCCCTCTCCCGGCGCTACTCCTGCTGGGATCCCTTGGACAGTCCCAGAACTGCACTGCCAGCTCCCACTCCTGCTGGGAGGGCCAGGACTGCCCAGTACCTCCAGGCCTCCTCCCAGGCAGCTGCCACTGATGGCAGCAACGACAGGCTTTGGAGAATGCTCGATTTTTTCCAGCATCTTCTGTCCGTCCTGAGAGAGCTGAGTCACTTCCTGAGCGGTCTTGCAGGCTTCGAGCATGCTGGGGGAGGAGAGAGGGGTCAGAACGGGACAGGCACTGGGCAACAGCAGGAAAATGGGGGGGCTCAGACACTTTGTGCCTCTTTTCCCACAGTCTCCAGTGCCTGACAGGCAGGTAAGAGCTATTTAGGCCCCAGTTTTGGATCAGACAACACGGGGAAGTTAAGCTCAGCAGGGCAAGGCCCTGCCCACTGACAAGGGCTGTGCCTGTGGCACTGAATGGGATCCCTTTGCCAGGGCTCTGAAAGCCTTTGGGAGGGGAGGAAGGGTCAGAGGAAGCCTTGAAGTGCTTGCCAGGAAGGGGACAGCCCAGGATCACTTTTTAGAGCAGCAGATGGCCAGTGCTCTGATGCCACACTCCATCAATTAGAGGCTCCCCGTGCCAATTATCCTCCCGGAGACCAGCAACGTTTGCCAGGCAGGAGCAATCTGGGAGGCTGGAGGTGCTGGGGCCAGCAGGCACCTCTTAACCACAGCCTGGCCTCTGCTTTGCTCACCAGCTCTACCTACCCCCTCCTTCCCACCTGCACAGGGACAAGGGCAGCCCAAAAGGGAACGAGGTTTTGGGGGGCCTATTGGTAATTCACCTTCTTTCCTCAGAGCTTTCTGGCTTCCAATGTCTTTGAGCAACTGTTCTGCCCTGCCCAGGGTCAGTGCCAGGAGCCAACAGCGCTCCAGGTCACAGTGGGCACCCACAGGATGACCCCACACCCTGGAAAAGCTGCCCAGGGAGGCTGCTGAGCACAGGGCAGAGCTCCAAACCCTGCCCAGCAGAGGGGCCAGGCTGGAGGGCTGCCAGGCACTCCAACCCAGCCAGAACGAGTCCTGCATGTAAATGATCTGCTCGCTGTGTCCCACAGGGAAGGACAGTGCCCACCCTAGAGCCAGGATGGGGTTCCTTGGCTGCACCCCAGCACGAGGAAGGAGTGACCAAGTGTCACATCCCGAGGGGGTTGAACGACTCCCCATGTCCCTCCTTGTCCAGGTTTCACTCCACGTGAGCACCTCTGGCATCCCGGGCACGTGGATGTCCCTCCCAGCCTCTGCCTCACCCCGGGGGGACGTCAGGGACAAACTGCTGGACTGCAGGGACAAACTGCCCTGCACTCCAGGCCCTGGCTGCTGGGGTTCAGGGAGAGCTCCCTCAGCCCCCTCCACCCCTGTGCTTACTTGAGATCCGCCCCGGCAATGAAGCAGCCCGGCTTGGAGGAGATGAGCACGGCGCTCCTCACGGCCTCGTTGGCCCAGATCTCGTTCATGACCTCCGTGAACTCAGCACTCAGCTGCTGGGACAGGGTGTTCACCTGGGGGGAGAAAAGCATCCTGAGCAGGGAGCTCAGACAGGGGAGGAGCAAAGCACCCTCAGCAGGGAGCTCTGATGGGTGAGGAGCAAAGCACCCTGAGCAGGGAGCTCAGACAGGTGAGGAGCAAAGCACCCTGAGCAGGGAGCTCTGACAGGTGAGGAGCAAAGCACCCTGAGCAGGGAGCTCAAATGGGTGAGGAGCAAAGCACCCTGAGCAGGGAGCTCAAATGGGTGAGGAGCAAAGCACCCTGAGCAGGGAGCTCAGACGGGTGAGGAGCAAAGCACCCTCAGCAGAGAGCTCAAAGGGATGAGGAGCAAAGCACCCTGAGCAGGGAGTTCTGACAGGTGAGGAGCAAAGCACCCTGAGCAGGGAGCTCAGACAGGTGAGGAGCAAAGCACCCTGAGCAGGGAGTTCTGACAGGTGAGGAGCAAAGCACCCTGAGCAGGGAGCTCAGACAGGTGAGGAGCAAAGCACCCTCAGCAGGGAGCTCAGACAGAGCCCAGCTCTGCTGTGGGTTAGTCCAGCCCGTGCTGGAACACAGGGAGGAAAACCACCACCCCCCCCAGCCCTGCAGCAGGTCATCTTTGATCAGGAAGCTCCTCCTTAACCTCCCCAACAGTAGGTTTGTGACCTCAAACACTGATTTTATGAGCTCATAAACTGTTTTTTTTTGGTTTTGTTTTTTTTTCTGTATAATCATAGAATCACAGAATGGGTTGGGTTGGGTGGGACCTTTAAGGGTCATCTCATCCAACCCCCTGCAGTGAGCAGAGACACCTCCCAGCAGACCAGGCTGAGCATCTCCCCAGCCTCACTGAAAGGCTGCAACCAGCAGAACAAACCCAGCCTGGGTTCTTCACACCCCACCAAAATCCTCTCATAAAACAGGATGTTTCAAAGCTGGGATTGTTGTTGCTCCTCAGAAGGAACGTGTATATTAAAAAAAAAAAGTTCAAGCCTGCTACAATTAATATAAGATCTTTCATAGCAGGAGCAGTTAAATCTTTATCTCTTGTGTAGTACCAGAGCAGCTCAGCCGTTTAGCTTTAAAAACCACTTTCTTATCAAAAGCTCTGCAGCTGCTTCATAACAGAGCATTTCCATCTGTGAGATGACATCTGAAATTCATTACTAGTTCACAGGACTCCAACGTGCATTTTTAGATGGACTCCTTAAATGCCATTTACAGAGGTTCCTGCCCTCCAACACCAACTGCAGCTGTATTGATCCAAAAAAAGAAAATTAGTTCTATTTGTATTGTGCTGATGATAAAAGAATCAAAAGCCTTTATGGATTCCAAAATACTGAAGTATGGACACGCTTTTTAACTGCCTTGAATCCCAGAGCTTAGTAAGATTTAGAATTTTTTTAAGATCTAAGATTTCTTTATGATTTAGGACTTCCTAAAACCTTGTGCCTGGGACGGAGATAAGTCAGCTTGGCACACACAGAGAATTCCACGAGGCATCTGCAGATGTTTCAAGCACCCAAAACCTCCTTTTCCTGTTTCTCCTTCGCTCCCAGCTTTGCCAGGCTGCAGGTCAGGGAAGTTCTCAGCCCGCAGTGGGAATTCTCAGTACCTTGGAATTGGGTGTGTTGAAGCGCACGACGGCCACGTCCCCTTTGATGTCACAGCTCACGTGGGTCCTGGCTGCAGACAAACACAGACCTGCCGTCAGCTCGGGCTCGGGGGGGCTTTAGGAACCAAATGAACGTTTTTTTTTAGGAATTAAATTTCATCAGGGACAAACTGAAAAGCTGCACACTCACCCTGCAGGGCGGCGGAGGCGGAGATGTTCCGGCAGGCATAACCTGAGGGAGAGATGCCGCAGATGTTAAAGGAATCCTCGGCACTCTGAGCTCAACTCTCTCCCAGCTCCCCTTGCCTGCCAAGGGCAGCATCTGGAAAACCCTGAGCGTGGGCCAGTCCCTTCCCTTAGGGCCTGACCTGTGCCAGAGCCAGCCCAGCAGATCCCACAGCACTGCAGTGACCTTCCCAGCACAGATCCCACCCTGCAGCTCCCAGCAACGCCGGGACAAGAGCAGGAAAAAACCAAAGGCTTCTTCCTGAAGAACTGACAGGAGAAGGAGCAGGTGGCACAGGGGAGCTTTGCCTTTAGGATGCTCATTCCAGCACTTCTTCACGTGCCAAACCAGGGCCCTTCCTGCACTTTGGGGAGGTTCAGGCACGTTAAATTCCCTGCAGAGCACACACAGACAGCTCTTCTGGGGTATTTCTGTAAAAACACACTCTGGTGCCAGCACACGGGGCCAGGCCAAGAATTACCTCACAGATCTCAGGGGGTACAACTGGCAGGTCACAAAAAGCCAACAAAATATTTATTCCTGCCTCCACCTATCACCAAAGTAATCAGAATCCCAGACTGGTTTGGGTGGGAAGGGACCTTAGAGATCAACCAGTCCCACCCCTGCCACGGGCAGGGACACCTCCCACTAGCCCAGGTTGCTCCAAGCCCCGTCCAGCCTGGCCTTGAACTTCAAGGATCCGGGGCAGCCACAGTTTCCTCTGGCACTGTGCCAAGGCTCCCCTCACAGCCAGGAATTTCTTCCCCAGCCTCTCACCCATCAGCATCCCCAAGTCCTTCTCTCCAGGGCTGCCCTAAATCCATTCTCTGCCCAGCCTGTGTTTGTGCCTGGGATTGCCCTGACCCAGGGGCAGCACCTCCCTGAGGCTGCACTGGATCCCACTGTCCATGTCCCTGACAAAGATGTTGGTCCTGATCCCAACCCAGGGAATGCTCCTTGTCACTGATGTCCACTTGGACACCAAGGCGTTGATCTCAGCTCTGAGTGTGACCATCCAGCCTGTTCCTCACCCATCGAGTCATCCACCCTTCAAACCCCTGCCTCCCCAGCTCAGAGACAAGGATGTTGTGTGGGACAGTGGGAATGCTTTGCCCAAGCCCTGGTGCCTGGCTCAGTCCCTCCTCCCTCACCCACCAACACCGTCACCCCGTCGCAGGACATTAAATGTGTCAGGCATGATTTTCCCTCAGTGAAGTGTCACCAATCACCTCCCTGTTTCCATGTGCCTCAGCACAGTTTCCAGGAGGATTTGCTCCACGAACTTGTCAGGCAGTGGTGTGACACTCATAGGGCCTGTAGCTGATCCACACCCAGGGGCACCCAAAGGTGTCCTGTTCCAGAGCCCTTGGAACGCTCGGAGCACGGGACGGACAAGTTCTGCCCACAGGCTGCTGGCTCATAAATCTCCTCTCTCTGCTCAGGAATTGTGTTTGGCCTGATGATCTCTCAGCACATGAATGAACCCCAGTCCCATGATCTCTCAGCACATGAATGAACCCCAGTCCCACCCCAGCAGCCTTGCACTTCACCCCGAGGATCCCTGAATGCAGATCCAGGCTGAGCCCCTGCCAAAGCTGCTTTCAGCCTGCAGTCCAGTAAAAGGGATATTCCAAAGCCCCCCCCCACACATCCAGAGGCTGGCACACAGCCAGACAGCCAGGGGAGGGTTCTGACAAAACCCTTAGGGATGGAACATTCCCATTCCCGGCAGCAGGAAGGGAGGAAAATCCGGTGCAGGGGGAGTGAGCTGCAAACCTCATCCCAACAGGTGCTGCCCCCTCCACAGCCCCGTGACACGGGCTCAGGGCCGGGGCCCTGCTGCACTTTGGCCTCCTTTCCACCTTGTCCGGGGTGCTGGCAGCAGGGACTGACCTTTGCTCTCATTCCAGAGCCCGGGATACGCGCTGTGATGCCGTGGGGATGGAAATTCAGCGTCAGGCTGGCCCGGCAGACAGGTCTGGGGTGCGTGTGTGAGTGTCATGTGCCCACAGAGCACTTTATAAACAAAGAGGGAGCTGATTTCCACTCCAAAGCCACTGGGGAGTATTTGATACCCACCCTGAGATTGCTGCCTCCAACACTAATTTCCCTAAACCTTCTGCAGGCTGGAGTCAGGTACTCTGGAAAACAAGCACCAGCATTTAATTCCTACAAAACCAATCATGGCCTGACAACACTTTCTCAGCTGAGAGCTGCTGCTCAGCAGGACATGATGCTTTTAACAGCAGTATTTTAACCCAGTAACAGCCACATGGCCTCTTTAAAAGGAAAGCAAGGGCTGAACTACCTCCCTGAAGCCATTCACTCAATCCCTGGAGCAACCTGGTCCAGTGGAACCTGTCCCTGCCCATGGCAGGGGGGTGGAATGAGATGAGCTTTAAGGTCCCTCCCAACCCAAACCAGGCTGGGATTCTCTAAGTTTTTTCCTCTTTTTTCATATCAGTTTCCAAACAGATCCACCCATGAAAACCTTCAACCCTGAATTCCCATTTGCCTCCCAGTTCTAGCAAAACAGAAGATATGAAGTAGGAAAAAAAATCAATTCAAGGGAACAACTGGACAAATCTCACTCCATTTGAACCTAAACTCTTTTGGGAAATGGTCTGTCAGCAGAGGAACAGCTCCTGAATTTGAGTGAGGTTTCTTTAGCCTGACAGTGGTTTATTTTAAAGCCCAGAATATTTGTGGGAGACATCCTTCACCTCTGAAACTAAAGCAGCTCTCGGTCCCAGTTACTGCACATCTGCTTTAGGAGCTGATCCGTTCAGCACCACGACGGGAACGTGCCAAGACCGGAGCCAGAAAAATCCTCCTCCAAAAGGCTTCAGGAGGCAGCAGCCCAGAGGAGTGCTGCCACCATGGCCCACCACTCACTCCAGAATTAAAGCCTTGCAGGTCGATTCCAGTCTCTCTCCTGCACTCACCCCAACCCAGAGACCATCCAAACCCCGGGACACCAACACTTCTGCTCCTCTCAGGACCTTGCCAAGGGCTTGGATGCAGCAGAGAACAGCCAACACCCCGTCCCAGGGCCCAGCCAGGACCTGCTCCTTCCCACTTTCCCTCTTCCCTGTTACTTCCTCAAGCAGCTCCCTGCCCAGCACTTCCCCTTCCCGCCCTTCCACTCACCCGGCCGTGGCACACCACTAGAACTGGGAACGGCATCCATGGGCGATGGCTCAGGGGAAAAGCCTCTTTCCAGCCCTGGAGCACCCCAGGCCCAGCAGGACGAGTGGGATGGAGCTCAGGACACCCGGCCAGGCTGTCCCTGGGAGCTGAGCACGGAGCTGAGACCCGTGAGCTGGGGAGCTCCCGACGGACTGAGCTTCCCCCGCTCCGGGAACCCGCCGGCACACGGATGTGGCTCAGCAGGTACAGCCAGCCCCGGAGCTCCCCCCGGCTCCTGCCTGCTCCCTGCCTGCTTTGCAGCCCTCCCCGAACACTTTGTTAGGCAGAACGAGGGCTCAGAGCAGCCCCGGGGCTGTTTGTGATGAAGAGTTTCACCAGGAACAAGAATTCCAACCAGCAAGAGCCTGGGAACTCCCTGGAGTTGCCACAGGTCTCCTCATTAGGGACAGCAGTGCCCTGTCACGTAGGAACTTGCTCCTACCCTGCACGTAACACAGGGATGGTCACAGAACCTTGGGATTGTTTAGGCTGGAAAAGACCTTTCAGAGCACTGAGCCCAGCCCTTAACCCAGCACTGCTGAGTCCAGGCCTGGGGTTAAATGAAAAGCTGCTGGATTTTGGGTCACCACGGATGGCAAACCCTGGGCCCCTCAAAGCACACACACAGCTGGTTTCCAGTGCCTCCCAGGCAGGTCCTTCAGCTTTCCCAGGGCTCCTGGGGGCTCCCTGCCTTGGTAGCAATGCCAGGAAGCACCAACCCAGCACTGTGAACAGGCAGGAGGGTCCCAAAGCCCTGCCCAGGCCGGCAGATCACAAGGGAGCTGCCTGATGGCAAAATCATGGAATCCCAGACTGGTTTGGGTGGGAGGAACTTTAGAGCCCGTCCAGCCCCACTCCTGCCATGGACAGGGACACCTCCCACCAGCCCAGGTTGCTCCAAGCCCTGTCCAACCTGGCCTTGGACACTTCCAGGGATCCAGGGGCAGACACAGATCCTCTGGGCAACCTGTGCCAGGGCCTCCCCACCCTCACAGCCAGGAATTCCTTCCCAATATCCCATCTATCCCTGCCCTCTGGCAATGGGAAGCCATTCCCCCTTGTCCTGTCACTCCAGGCCCTTCTAAATAGTCCCTCTCCAGCCTTGCTTCCAGCTCCCTTCAGGCACAGGAGGGCCACA